AAATATTACACTCAGAAATAGCCTGAGGATATAAGAGCACCCTTGTGAGTTTATCCTGTCACTAGCACAGTTTTGAAGCTAAAGGGCAGCTCTTCAACCCCAGACACTGCAAAGTCCCACCCATGAACCAGAACAGATGAACAGCAGAAACACTGAAGGATGCTGTTCAATTAAAACAGACTTCACCTTGCCCAACTTGAATATGACCTGGCAAGCCAGCAATGTCACTTCCAGCCAGATCTGACTGCACTCAGAACCTTTCTTCCCTTCTGGAATACTCCCTGTATCTACTTTGTGCAGTAGAAAGGGAAGGCAGCCACAACAAACTGAATTAGTGCCGCTGGTGTTTTACTGAAAGCTGGCTCACCAAAGATTGGACAATCCTACTCTAGGAAGTAAAATTCAACACAGACTACAAACTCAACACAGCAATAGCTGTGTTGAATGTGCTGCTGCCATGAGTACATGCATGTTAGTACATCTGAGAGGCATTATGGAATAAAAAGTAATGCAATCTCTAATGCAAGTTGAGAAACTGAAATAACAGATTGGGTTAATTACAAGACCTTAAATCTGAAAGACTCTAGTTGTGATACAGGAAAAGAAAAATATAGTCAATAAACATTGAGGGAAAATGGAAGGTGCAAATTTTACTTACTTTTTTGGGACACTCTTCCCTCCCTGCAGCCATAATTAACTGGGAGATACCTCCTTTGAAGTTCTGCCTTGGTTCACTTTGAGGCAACCTAATTCCAGCATGGCTAAAGAGATTTTGGCACAGCTTCACTTTAAGAGATAGCCTTTGTAATTAGGAGTTCCTGCTGGATTTGTTCTGCAAAGTATGTAATTGGCACTTTTGCCGATGCACTTCATTTCAACAAATTGTAAACATTTTTTCTTTCTTTTGTTTACTGCTCCTCTTTGAGTGTAAAGACATGCATATTACTCGTGTTAACCCTGTGAAGTGAATCAGATGAGCATGTTTACTGACATCTTCCAGTCTGCTTTTATTAGTAGCTCAGTATTAAGCTAGGAGAGAGGAGAGGAGGGAAGCAGTCTCCCTTCCAGAGGGAACTCCTTTGACCAGGACTTTAGAACCAAAGGCTGACCCTGATTGGCTTTGCTGGGTTGAGGACAGGGTGGCACAGGACTTTGGCTAGAGCTAAGATTGTGCCAATCAAACGTCAATATCCTCAACCATGACAGATAAGGCTGCTCCTTCACTCAATACTGAGCAATCAAGTTTCAGGTCAAGGAAATATCAGTAATCTACAAAGATAAAATGCACTGGAGAGACAGGAGTGGGGACAGAATGTCTCTTCATTCTCTTCTGCCTGCAATTTCTATGACGTCTCTGAAAGTCAAGCCAAACCCACTCTGTGTCACTCTTCCTGAGCAAGCCATCAGATCCCTCAATTTAAATTAAGCATAAAAATCCTTAATAGAGGCCACAGATAAATTAACATGCCCCTAAACCCTGGACTGGTATTTTAAGTCTTCCAGAATCATAGAATCATCAAATGGTCTGGGTTGGAAGGAACTTTAAGGATCATCTAATTCCAACACCCCTACCATGGTCAGAGATGCCATTTCCTCAATGAGGTTGCCAGGGCACCATCCAACTTGGTCTTGAACAGTTTGTGGAAGAAGGCATCAGATACATTGCTAAAAATACTTGCATCTAGCTTTTTCTCCCCACCTTCCCTTAATATTCTCTTTAGACTGGGTCCATCCTTTCAAATGTTAAAAGGTACTGGCTCTATCTCTTTGCCCTTATTTCCTACATAATCAACAGCAGCAACATAGCAAGCCATAAATTCAGGCAGTGAAAGGGAAGGCAGTTTCATTTTAATTTAGAACCAATCTCATTCACTCACACCCTCACATCCACATACTCATAAGCACCTGAATGTGCATGCCCAGATAATTTGCACAAAATTCAGGTGGTAGACTCCTGAATCCAGGTCTGCTCAGGACTCCTTGTGACAACAGAGAAAAAGGGATACCAGCTATAATGTCAGCAAGAACAGGCTCACTCTAGGAGGCAGGGCTCCTGGGGGCAACTGTGAATTAAACCTGATAGGTTTAATTCAGAATTAAACCTGATAGGATTCTTCACTTTATCCTGCAAGTTAAGTATGAGAACTGCGTAAAAGCAGGAGCAAGCGTGATTACATAATTGCAGAGCTGGGACACTGCCAGCTGGGAACAGAAGCCATAATATCTCTGTGGGCAGAATGCCAAACACCATGGGACACTTACATCTCATTGCAACTTCCTTCAACCCTGGGCTTTGCTGGCACCAATGGTATACAGCTGCTGATTTCCTCACAGCAACATTACTTAATCTAAAGGAATAGTTAAATGCATTTTATTCACTTACAAGTGGCATTTCTTCTCTTCAGCTTACAGAGGTTGTATGTAATTTTGGCTTTTTTCTTGGAACTCCTTAACAGGACATTCTCCCTAGAGATCCCTATGTCATTTTGCCTCTCTCTTGTTCCTCCTACTGCTTTATAATGTGATCCATGATGAATTATTTATTCCCCTCCCCAATATGGGCTTCTTAGATAGCTACCATTGCTCTATGGCACAAACTACGACATGTCTTCCCCTAAACCAGCTTCTGAAGCAAGAAATTGAGAGCCAGATTATAGCCAAAACTCTAAAGGCAACAGCTAGTTCCAGGTAGCATGAGGGATCTCGGATGTTACTGCTGCAGCAGGTAACAAGACACACGAACAAATTATGACTACAGATATTAAATACAGGCCACTTACTAAGGAATTTCTGTGCTTACAGAGATGGATTTCCCATTTTGTCAAGGTTTACAAATGGGGTTTAAGGCATTTTTTTGGTAGGTTTTTTAAGTCAAGGAGCATTAGGACCAGCTGTAGTTTTTGTCACAAAACTACACATCCCTTGTCCCCTCTGCAAACATAAATGCATAATAAAGCAAGCTTTTGTTCACTATTGCTCTACAACCATCTCCTGTCTTTTTGAAGGAAGGTGCAAATGTGCCTCAAAATCCATTAAGTGGGAGCCAATGGTACCACAGCATGTCCAGGCTGGGGAGCACAACAGCACCAGCTGGTGAGGGACCAAAGCACACACTTGGCAATGGGGCAAACTTTGAAGAGATCAGGCAGAACAGGTAGGGGCAAAAGGTCTGGAAAAGCGATTACACAGGTAAAGAGCAGAAAATAAATGTTAAGATCTTTTTTTAAAAAAATAGTAACGCCAAATGCAAAACAGATATTTATAAAGAGGCAGCAGTAAATGTTTCTTAGAGACCTAAAGATTTGTATTAGAGTGAATTGTGTGCATGCTTGCTGAGAGTATAATTTTCTTGGTCTACAAAATTATCAGTAAATTATGACAAGTCCCCACAGAAAAAGGTTGACTGAGCCCTCAGTTAGCATAAGAGAGATCAAAATGGTGAGAAACCACCACACTCAGACACCACCAAAATCCTAAAATACTTCTAGATCAAATACTTATCACCCTTTTGAAAACAGGTGCATAAACACATTACTGACATATTTATTATTATAGAAATCTGGCAGCAAATCAAATTTTAAAAAAGCTTGTCAGGAGGAACCAGCAATGCACTCAGAAGCACTGACCACTTGTGTGCCACTGGTGTGTCTGTACTGTGTCACTGTGCAATGTACAATGTGCTCATGGCCTTATCCAAGCCTGACACAAAGCTCCCACTGACTCAAGTTTATCCAAGACTGCATCAGAAAGGTGCACAGAATAACCTGAGGGAGATGTCTCAAAGACATGCCCCTGTGACATGGGACACACCTACTACTAACACAAATTTAGGAACTACCGGGGCAGGATAGATCCAATTTTCATATGCTCATGGATTAAAACTACATAGCACAAAACACAGCAGAACATTACCTTTAAGACCTTGATGTGACAACTCTGAGTTAGATCAGAAGCAAAAATTTCCTAGAAGAACACAAGGCCAGGTTTAAGCTGAGTGGGCTCTGTTGTAACAGCAATTTCTTAATAAGAGTTATCTTCTCCACATAGAAAATCACAGCATTTCTGGATAGGCATTTCTGCCCCTCCTGTCCTACAGCTTCAGTGTGCCTTGAAACATGACCATCTGCTGGATGAGAATGATGAACAGCAAGCAGCTTTCAAGGAGGTTGTTAGGAAAGGGAAAAAAAATCAGTCTCTTTCAAAACTGAAAGCTTGTTTTACCAGGGTCTCCCCCAAAGAGATCAAAACCTTCAGAAGTCCACTTCAAAAAAGTTACTTAAAAATAGTCTATTTCAAAACAAGAGGATAAGTTTCGTATTCAAATTTTGCAATGCCAAATAGCAATTTCAAAAGATTTATTTTTAAAGCACAGAATGGAAACTTGGTCCTCTTCACAAATACAAGGTACACTCACTGTTCTGAAGGAAGATCATGCATTAAGCAGCATTGTTCATTCAAAGAGCAGAGTTTAAAGTCAGTTAAGAATGACAGCTAGTAGGGAAGAAAGTATTTTAGATTTCTAAACACTATTTCTAGTTTATACTGCTTAGCACTACATCACGCCTACAGTAATATGTAAATTGCAAGTAACATGATTATGCTGTGGGCTATGCACAACCTCCAGTGATAAATCAGAGTGAAAAATTATACTCTCTTGAAATTTTTCATTACAAAAAATTCCAGATTGAGAAGACAGGCTTTCAGGAACAAATTCACAGAAACTAAGTAGGCTGAGACATGCAAACATTTAAAAAATCATGCACTGCACACACCCATTACACTGAGGACTAAAAGAACTGCATAGATCGAAATGCTGTGTTACCAAGGACAGATAAAGCTCCAAAGAGCTTTTAAAACTATGCATTTCATTAACAGTTGATACATTTTGTTGTGTAACTAGCCCTACACTGATTTGCAATCTTACAGTTTGGTTCTACAGAAAACTTTCATACGTGTTATTAGAACACAAAGTCTGAGAGGCAAAAAAATTAGGCCCCAAGTTTTATTGGTATTATATATAACTTTATTTTATCTTTGTAACAGTACAGGACTGAATAGCCTAGCTACAAAAACCTCAGCTGGTATTTCTTCTTCTCCACAAGTATTAAAAATGGCAAATAGAAAAGCTTTCAAAGCTTTAGCTGGTACCAAACCATGTGCCAGACAAAAAGGAGTCAATAAAGGTACTCTAGAACACAGTCTTAGCTGAGAAGAAATACAGAATTCCAACTTGATTCAGCTGCTTGAGGAGGTATGGGATCCATCATCTCAGCAGCCTGAAGTCAAATTACTTTCTAACTAGTTAGATAACCTTTGAAATGTATCACTCCACATCACTCCCAGTTCCAGGGACAGTATGGATAATGCCCCTGCTTATTATAGCAGCCAGGATGAGTTTGAACTTGCTTTTAACATTTTCTGTTCATTCTTCAATATACAATTTCTTCGTGCCATTAAAAACTATTTACGGTTTGGTTCTGTTCCTTTACTAAGTCTGTTTCAAGGGTCCAGACTTGTCTCATGTTCTTCAGTTTCATCAGGTAGTTCTTCAGCAGACGCATCACACACATTGTCCTGGCCATCTGCAGGCTGATTTGGCTCATCAGGTTCCCCAGCTGCAATCTGAGTTGTTTCTTCTTCCTCTTCTTCCTCAACTTCCCCATCATCCTCTACATCCATCTCAAACACCCTGATGTGGCGAAGGTTTGAACTTAGCTATAGAGACATTAAGAAGTTCCTGTTAATGACTAAATAAGTAAAAACACCAACAGCATTTTAATTGTTGGACAATAGCTTTGAAAATAACCTATCTTTGAAATGGAGGTTTCAAGGGAATTAGCAACTTTTTTATTGCTTTACAGGCTGAGAAGTAAAGCAAGCACATCTATTACCTTCTGTTAAAGTTTTCCATTCTCTGCTATTAGACAGGTATGAATGCCACAGTAGTAGCAGATTATGAGAAAATAATCTATTTGTTTAAAAAAAAAAAGGTAACTTTTAGGTTACCACTTCAGACAGCACACTTCCTTTAACAGACAGGCTTTTTCAGAGATACTGCACTTACCACACAAGAAACTTTTCTAATGCCATTTACAGAAACATACTGAGCTTTCATATTCTCCAGCACTCTCCACTGACCCTCCAAGAAGACAGTACGTGTGGGTATCTCACCACTTCGCTCATCCAGCCTGCAAGGAGAAAAGCACAAAGCTGGTTCACAACAAACAACTGCAGTTCTAAGAAAAAACTTCTGTCTCTTAAGCCTAAATTACATCATATACAACAAGCAGATAAGCCTCTGAAACCATCATAATGCTGCTACGATACTCTAGAGCAGGAGATCCAACTGTAGAGACACAGCATGTTCCAATCGAGTTAAAAACATTACAGCAGGTGAGAAGGGAGTTGTAAAATCTGATATTCTCACAAAAAACAGCAATAGCAGGATGTGGGTGGCTTTTCCTCAAACCTCTCCTCTGCACAGAGGAGTTTCTGAACAGAGTCCTGGATGCAGTGCCACCCCTTACACAGAAGTTTGGCCTCCACGACCTTTCAAATATGCATCACTACCCCACTCACAGGGATTCCATGAAGACACTCCCTACCTCTTAACAGCAGCCAGGCTTAGTTTGAATTTGCTCTTAATGTTTTCTGCTCATTCTTCAATACACAATATCTTTGTGGCATAAAAAAGTTAATTTACAGTTCAGCGTGGCTCTTTATTTTGAAATACAAACACAGCTTAAGCAAACCACCAGAGAAGAATGGGAGAAAACTAAAATACTGGATTTGCTGCTTGAACTACATTGGCCTTTGTGTGTGTGTGTTCACTTTCACATGATACTCTCCTCCACCTATGCCAATTCAGACAGTGGTACCAGTTCCGATGCTTTAAGGTTCATCTGACAATATTTGTAAGGGTGACCACCAGGGAAAGATCAAGAAACACCTGTGTATTCTTATTACAAGGCAGAGGTACATGAGCATATATGCAGAAAACATCCTAAATTGAAGTATTCTGACTAGCAAAGTCAGCATCTTCTAAAGAAAAGAAGATTTCTGATTCTACAAGGTGTCTTCGGCTGATTCTTGCATTTCATGACAACCAGATACAGAAGTAGTATCAGGATAAAAAACCCAAACCCAAGCTCCCAAAAACTACAAAACAAACTATTTAGGAAGCTTCCATCTCCCCCATCCTAGTCTCCTGGCACAAAAAAGAGTATCTGTCCTTAAAATATTTACACACATACAAAGTATGAGTAACTGTACAAAGTTACAATATTTGCTTTATTTGCTTTTCAGTTCTGTACTTTCAGATTTGCTCAAGGTTTTTCAGTACCTTTCCATAGAATCCCAAATGAATTTCCCATCTTGGTCCTCGTCTGTATATACCGAAGATAAAGGCAGCTGAGCCAAGACTCTCTCCTTCCCCTCTTGTTGAACACTCTCTTTCAGAACTACAGTTACAGTTTCATCGTCATAGAAGTGAGCATCCAAACAACTGTAGCATCTACAGGAAAATAATTTAGAAAGTATCAAGTAATATAAGAGAACGCAGAACTAAAGTATTTTAAAGTTGCACAGCACTCATGTTAAAAAGTATTCAGTGCTTAACAATGAGCTTTATTGTAAATAATAAAAGAGGTCAGTTGTGCAGCTATGACATTGAACAATAGCCGTAAGTTGGCAGACTCCTGTATCATGCAGGAAAAATTATTCTGAACAGAAAATAAAAGCAACTCACAAAAAATCCTTACTAGCAACCTTCACATTTCAGATGAAACATAAGGAACAGTAAACATAAATACCAAAGAAAATTTAGAAATACAGCTGAAGGTACTGAGGGCAAATCACATCCGGCTTTCCTACATGAAAAGGACAAGTTTAGTCTATCATATGTCTTGTAAGATGGCTACATTCAGGCACACCAAGTTTTATCCTACTTAAAGAACATCACAGAGATAAACAATACTTGTTTACAGCTAGATTTGTTTCTTGCAACTAATGTGTTTCAAGATGTGTTAAAGCTTTAGTTTTCAGCTGGAAAACTGAAATTTACTTGAGCTTGAGATGAAGTGCAAAGTAAGATTCGCACAACTCTGCAGCTTCATGCACCTGTACCATTTCTTACACCCTGATTCACCCAGGTGAGTGAACTTCAAAGGTAACAAGGCAAACAAAAGTAAATCACTAGGAAATATGATCTTTAATTCAGCAATCTACCAGAAAAATCAAATACACTGACCTGGAGTCTGAGCTCTCATTTATGCTGTTGTTCAAGAAGTTTCCAAACTCTACTGCAAGAATCCCATTACTGACAGACCTAGAACAACAGATTTAATTATCTCAGTGACAAAAACCTTTCCCTTCACTAAGAATCCAAAATCTCTAATGGCAGCTGTCGTACAAGATGGTGAAAAAGCCTATCTAAACTTAGCACAATACATGGCTACATGCCAAAATTATGTGATTGGTGGATGGGAACCCTTTAGATTCTTCTGCTCCTCAGAAAAAAAGTGACTAATGGAGTAAAATGGAAAACTACATCTAGCTTATGAGACACAGTTCTTTTACTGAATTCCTCAATTGTCCTAGTTTCAGGTTCATTATGTTTCTTGTTAATCCACAGCAAAAGAAGTTAGATTGTTTTAGGAATCGATGAGAGAGGAACTAGAAGTCACCACAAGGCAGTAATTCTGTCATCAGCAGCTATGAACTGGAAACACAAAAGACAGTTTCACCATGTGTTTTCCTTGGCAGTAAAAGTACTTTACAAATTCCCACTCCATCGCAGTCTCACCCAATTTACTGTCTCCTCAAATTAAATGGCAGATTATAAAAATCAGTATTTCACAGAGAGGAGGAGTTTTTGTTGTTTTTAAACCTAGCTTACTTCAGCCATCCCACTGACAGAATGCAGCTTGAACAGTTGCATCAGCACCATCATAGTGTAACAAATCACATCAAGGTATACAAACTCCTGAAGGCACACAGATCCATACCCCAAAAGAGATGCACTCTATTTAATGCACCTCTGAGAGCAGTCCCCGTATTTCCAAAAGTATTAAATTGCAGACTGCAAGGCATTAATCAAAGAACACTATTCACAGTAAGACAAAGTAAGACAAAGCAACACTGGAAGCAGGATTCCCAGTAATTTTTCAGAAGTTTGCATAAATAAGTAATTCTGTGAGCAGTAATCTAATGGAGTCTGAATTTTTCCTTATCCCAGAACCATCCTGGGTCTTGAGATTAGATTTTCTGAGTCTGATAAAACACGAATTTCTGCTGCAGTTTCCTGCTGCACTTCTTAATGCACTCCTCATTTTCTCTAGTATCCAAGAAAGACTCTATTAATGGTACTCATTCCTTATTTTTACAAATAGATTTGAATTGCAACTGACTGTACAAATGTGGCAAAGCTCACCCTCATTTTGTCTCACCTGGAAGTATCAGTATGTCTCCTCAAAATGTGTATTTTAGAAATAGAATTTTCTAACATGGTGAAGAGAACATAATGTAAATTAGATGTTTTGTCGTTCCACCTGCAATGTGGGGGAAGAAATGAAAATTTAGATCAAGTTTTAATAACTGGTGAACTACATGGAACAAGAATAGCAGCATACTTACAGAAATGGTAATTTAAATAACTGAGGTGTGGAATCTTCACTGCAAAGGAAAGACAAAGCAGTTTATAAAACGCTACTCATGCATGAGTTTCAGTTGCAAATTTCTTTAGCTGCTTTTAGTAATGAAATACCTTTGAGAAATTTTGTAGAGAGACATGCAGACTGCTTGATGCACTGACTTTCCAATTACATCCTAACAAATATAATAAAAATAGGCCATAAAATACAGGCAATTATTCATAATTATACATCTTTTTAAGACAAAAAAAACCCCCAACCAACCAAGCAACCAACCAGCAAACTCTGAGTACATCTGAAAGAAAATTCCACCAATATTTATCCTGGAATAAATATCCCTAATGCAAACACTACTGTCACTTCATATACTTGTTTCGTGTTTCTCCATGTTAGACTAATGTATTGCCAACTAAGACAGTTAACTGCTACACAGCACATACACACACATAATTAACATTAAAACCAGATCCCAAAATTGTGTGAACAGTGTATGTTAAACTAAAAAATCCCTTTTTAAAAAATGCTTTCCCTGGCCAAGGGCTTGAGATACCCCAGCAGTGAAGCTGGACTATACCTTAACTGTAGGCACTCAAAGGCAAAGATTAAAGCTTCAGGCCTTGCAAAGCTTGACTGCTACCTTCAGTTGACCACCATCCCTAAAAGAAAGTAATTTTTAAAAACTGAACTTACTGCTGGCTTTTGTAAACACTGATCAATGACTCCTTCCATTTGCCTTTTGACAAAATGCAGTGATTTCTCAGGATAGTAGGGAAACAGAAGTGGGCTTTCTGTAAATAGACAGTCAATTTTAAAAATGGTTGTGTCTCTATAAAAACATATTATACCATTTTTATCTCTAAAACTAGATTTTCTAAAGACTGTCTTCCAAACAAAAATGCTGCCATTTCCCCCCTTTTTATTGAAATAAATAGGCAGAAAAAGGTAACTGTGGCAAATTCTATCATAAGCAGCTTCTGCTGTCAAGGTTTAAGAGCCTTTGGTTTCTAGAGTTAAACTAGAATAACTGTCACCATCTGCTCATTATGGTCTCTTACTTCTTTTTCACCACGAATTAACAAAACAGTCTCTGACTCCAGTGAAAGGGAACAAGTTAGGACACTCTCCCCAGGTATAACCTAAGCATAACTATTGCTTTCTTGAATTGGAATTAAGATATCCTAAAATAGACCTCCTCTGGGATTCCTTCTGAGCCAACACTTCTGAGATGGGTACAGAAAAATGGGGAACTCCCAGTATCCACAAAATGGTAACTGACTGGGTAAGCAGCTACATAAACCTGGTGCAAAATAACAAGGCCCATTTATTTTATTCCACTCAGATAAAGATGAATGAGTAACACTACAGAAGGAACTCATAAGCATGAAAAAAGATAACTCTTCTACATTTGTTACTTTCTACATGTATCTTGCATTCACTTCTTTTTCATGAAAGCATATTACCTTTAAGATGAGTACTATCTTTAAGAAAGTTAAACCACTGGTTTCCCTCTGTATTAGGTGGTGATACAAGGTCATCATCTTCATCTTTCAAGTACTAGAAGAGAAACACACATTTTTAAGATGACAGTTGAAGAATAGGGAACATTAGAATTCACCTTCACTATTGCCCCTAGTGAATATAATAAACATTTCCTGTTAAATTAATATGCCATAGTCTTAAAACTAAATATTGCACTCCAACTAGAAACAATAAGAAAAATCAACTGCTGTTTAAGATCACATGCTGGTACTTTCCTAAGAAACTGATTTTTAAATCAAGTCTGAACACAAATGTTTTGAAATGCACTGACTAATGCCATACAGACAACAAACACATCAGTTTTGCTGAAGCTGGCTTTTAGAGTTTTACTGCTGCAAAATGTTTTTGTCTTTTCCTAAAAATACAGCATGTGTAAAGTGAAACTACAAGGTTTTAAACCCTAATTTCCCTAATAATAAGGGGAAACAATTTACTCTCTTTTACCATACTGTGTTGTATGTACAACACAGAGCAAAAGGGCCAGGGAAGAAAAGCGGACACAGCTTTAAAAGCTTCTCTAAGGATTTTCTCATTTATTCTTTTTGCATTTATTCCTTAGTTCTTTACCTGGCCAACTCTCTCCACATTGAAGTATTTTCCTTTACGATTGTAAAGTTCTGGTGCCTAAAAAAATAATGCAAACAAATTATTTAAATATAAAAATAATAACAAGTAGTGAACAAAAAGATGATAAAATTATTTTAGTCTAGGATTTTTTAGACACAGCTATTGTCAGCAAAAATACAGTCAAATCATGTACTTTGAAAACCAGTATCACTGACCTCATTGAAGTGCTCAGTAAGAAAATCAGCAACAAAAGTGATATCTTTTTGAGTCATCTAAAAGGAAAAAAACCAGTGAGAAAAGCAAAGGGTAAGAAATACATTTCAATGAGCACAGAACACCCATTCTATAGGCTGCACAAGCACAGCTCCCTCAGCCTGTACTCACAGGGCAAATGTTCCAGCCTCCAACCTATTTGTGAATGCTCGCTGAACTCATCCCAGATCATTCTTGTCTTGTACAGGATGGTCCCAAACTGGAGATGTAACCGACAAGTGCTAAATAAGGACAATAACTACTTCCCCTGACCTCCTGGCCACGCTCTCATTACTACAGCTGTGGTCACTCTCCCCTGCCCTTTGTCAGGGCACACTGCTGGCTCATGCCCAGCGTGCATCCCACATCATCTTGGCAAAACTGACATCTTCCCAGTCGCATGGGCTCCAGCACTGCACTCACAGAGGGTTAGCCCACCCCACAACAGAAACTTGCATTTTCTCATTCATGAACTGCAGGAGGTCCCTACCTGTCCATTCCTCCAGCCTATCTATTTCTGGAAGGTACCTCTGCCCTCAAGTAAGGGCAGGGTGATGGTGGCTGCAGATTTGATGCAGGTATTATATTACTATATTATTGTGTTATTTTATATTCCCTCTCCTCTACTGGGGCATTGATAAAGACATTAAAATCTCACACTGGTTAACTTCATCATTTAGTGCACATAAAGATCTGCTATACAGAGGCCTTGCATACCCAGAGTACTAAATACAGTAGTGTTAACAAAGAAAACAGAAAAAGTAATTTATGCAGAACAGCATATTAGTGTGAATGTGCAGGCACCAACTTTCTCAAAAAAATAACACAGACACTGCCCTTCAAGTTCTGGAACAAAAAGAAACCTTTAATTCCGCTTTCAAGATGAGCAGAATATTGAGGCTATCACCATTTATCAGAAAATGTTACTATTACCTTGTTCAGCTCTGGAAGCACATGATCTTCTGACATCCTCAACATGGCTGAGGGAAAAATTACATTCTTATTGAATTAATATTTTAATACTGTTTTTATTTTTTAATTTTTTTTATAATTTTAGTTTTATTAATACTTTAATAATGTTTTCCTAGTATTCTTAATTTTATCCGTGTATGTAATAAGACTCTGCTGTTAAAAAAGATTAATTCACTAGAAGCAGAAGAGCCTGGAATGAAGAATTACAAACTGAGACTGAAATTAAGTCTCTCTAGTCTCACTAGCTTACATTACAAATCTTGAAGAATTTTTATCTTTAATCATTTCCAACCGCATTCTGCCCTGTACAAGACTGAAACAACATTATTATAAAAGGGGCTCATAAGAATTTTTTTCATGTCCATACTAAGAGTACTAAAATGGATATATGTAAAATACATGAAAACTGTCATGCTCAGAAAAGTGTGTTTTAAGAGAATTGCACAGAATTAATTTTAAATCTGCACGGCTTGGATAAAGTTCTCTATCTAGTTTGAAACCAAACAAACAGTAAAAAAAACATTATGATGGAGAACTTCAATAGTTCTGCTTTCTGCAGTTCTTAAAATTAGAACTATTATATTCCTGCTACTAACTGCTAACACTGCTTATCTGATGCTTTTACAGTATCTGGTAATACCACTTAGTTTTTGTAAAATAGTTCTAAAAAGATCTAACAGAAGTTATAAACTTACTCATAAATAGTTTATAAAACCAAGCAGTGTAAAATACAGCGTGCTTCATTTCCTTTTAACATTTTCTCTGCAGCTACATAGACACAATTGAAGGTGGCTACTAAGTGCCCGTGGACATTCTGAAACTGTTTAAAAGCTGTGCAGAAGCTTACAAGTAACTAGGCTGCTACAGGAGAAAACAGCAAGTAACAGAGTAAAAGAGAATTAGTCTTTACTTCAAAAATCTGGTGTAGACTAAAAAAAGTCCTTTATTTTTCTCTAAATCAAGATCAGCAAATTGCTCATGAAGCAGAAAAGTTTGGAGCAGCATACCAGGTCAAGTATATACAATACCCACTCTACATATACTAAATTTAATTGAGAAACTGAGACTTTATAATCAAATCTGTCTTTAATATTGTAATTACTCTTGCCTCATCAACCATATTCCTTTACATGTCCAGAAATTTTCTATGATAGCAAAAAATAGATGTTTATAACTAAGATTGGCCTAGTTACTTGCCTGCATTTCAATATAAAACAGATACTGGATGATTACTATATGATCAATCTTACCAACATAGAGCCATCGAAAAAATGCCTTGAAGTTTTTCATACTACTGTCAATCACTCTAAACATGAAAAACAAGAAAAGAAATTACAATAGCTGACTGTCACAAGCTGTTCCAGGCTTAACAGAGGAAAGGCCACAAGCACTGTCAGTTTTTCTCAAAATGCCCAATGCAATGTTTCAAGACTATTCTTCTGGTATGAGTCTGACACGCAGTGAGACAAGATGAAAGCTCACCACCAACACAGGAGTCATGCTCTCCCAACCTCCTCAGTTCCCAGCCCATCAATCTCCTCCAATACAAGACTGAATAGGAATGATTTGTAAACTCTACAGACTTTATACTTACTGAAGCAGCTCATTTGCCTTCAGGATGAAAGAACCAACAGCAGTGATAGCCTCTGTAAAAGAAGCTAACTATTATTATTAAGCTTTCAAAAGTGAAATCAGAGCAGGTAGGTAGCACACACTACTGTACCGTCAATTCCAGCTGCATCTAATCCCAGAGACTCGTATTTTTGTTTCCATAAAGCCATTCCTTTCAATTCACTCAAGTGGTATAAAAGTGCCTCAGAGCCGCTAGGAAGGCAGAGGAAAGAAGTATGACATTTTATTCACCCTCTGGAAATCCAGTGCTCTGCTGCATGCTACATTTTTATCATCTAATGTGCAAAGTGCAAAGCTTTATAAGGTAGTTGACATGAACAAGAGGTAAGGTATCATTTCACAGAAAAGTAGGTATTGTCCCAGTGACACAAACTTAGTGTGAATATTTGGCATAGATCCCATAAAAAACACCAGGCAGCAATTTACAGGTGCTGCATCATGGAGATTGCTCAAAATACTTCACTAGTTCTCTACTATGCAATAATAAAATAATACATTTGCCCATGATCACAGTCTCCATACCAGCACACCTACAAAAAAAGCACCACCAAGACAGCATATTGTCTTTTAGCAGAGCATATAATATGCCATTTTATCTATAATTCATTAGAAATTCTGTGACTTACCTCTGCAAATGACTTATAACCAATTTTTGTATACTGGAATAGGAAGACTCTATGGACTGACCAAGTTTTTTTAAACCCTGTTAATAAAGAAATACAATCATATACTAGTGTTCTGTTAACATAAAAGTTATTAAAAGATATTGAAATAGATTTGTTTAGTATGTTTAAAAATATGTTAACATACCTTTACTGTCAGTTGGTTCATTAGTAATGCCTGAAGTTCCAGACTGAAGAAGGTGGGGAGAGAACCAAAGAGGCATTTAATTTTGTGTTTCAACATCAAGTGCAAAGGCAAACTCAGATAAAACAGTAACTACCTTGCTTTTCCCCATAACAACAGCTGCATAAACTCATCCTGAACAGAAGTGGTTGTATTCTTTTCCTGTCAGTCAAAATGATTGAAATAAGATTGGTGAAGAGATTAAATCCAGGCTACCAAATTATCTCACAAACACTCCATATAAAGTATTTCAAAGAACCCATCCATATCCTTGAATGTTGAAATCAGACTACTGATCACTGAAAATTTTCTGATCACTGAAATTCCTCTAGTATTTTAAGTTATTTTCAACTGCATTACCCAATAAAAATTCTAAACAGTTTACCATCACCAAGAATCTATTTTAAAAAATAAATAAATTACATGATTCATTAACTTCTGGCCATGGTCAATGAACACAAAATTTATGCAAATCCAACTGCATCTTAAACATGGATAATTATATGTGTTCTACTGAATTAGGCTGCAAGTGTTGTTACTGACCATTTACAGTAATCAGTTTACCAATTACTTAAGTACAAAGAGCACAACCTTAAATAGAAAACAACTGATCAACAGCTGGGAAAGCTGAAAGCTGTGATTTTTAAAAAATTCAGAATAAATCAAAGTATCACAAGACAATTTTGCTTGATTGTACGGAGGTACCTTCAGCATCAGAGAACTTGACACACAAGAGCTTCCAGGCCATCCCTGAACTTAGAGATTGTTATCTGGAGGCATCATGCTTAAACATTAAGATATGCAGTAGACTAACAAGAACAGAACTACTGCAAAAAGTGTTTTTCCTAAAGGATGGTTAATCCTACAGTACCTGTACAAACTTTGTTAGTCGTGAGTCCATCTGCATCAGTATTTCTTCCCATGCTTCACACATGCATGTCAATGACAGCTTTATATACTGTAACACAGAAACTGGGATTAGTATTGTATCCTTCCTCCCCTTCAACAACACTTTCAAAAAATGGTTGTTACAATATAAAGGGAAGATATACTGTAGATCTTACATAAAATTTATTATCAAATTCCAAGTTATAGCTTTACATTTACTTAAAATAAACTCAAGCTTCCCACTAGAAAACATTTAATTCACTTGCATTAGAACATCAAAGCCTGCAGAACCACAAGACTGAAAGGATGGTGTAACACAACTGTACCTATATATAGATTACAGAAATTAAAAGATAGAAGGAAGGACCCACAGAAAATCTCTTAGTTGTCAGTTCCTTAAGGTTGATTTTAAGAGGAAAATGCATTTAATTCAAAGAAGCAATAACTATTTTTAATACATCTATAAGGTTTAATACATCTGATAAGGTCCCACATTTTGGAGCTCTAACAGTAAGAGTTTTAAGGATGACTGATAAAGAAAATATGAATAATTGTAACTGTAGTTGAATAAATTTATGTTATTCTAAAAGTAGTATTTCAAAAGAATGCCCCAGATCACCACTGTCAGTCTCATCAGTGAAACTGTATGTTAACATCATAAATTCAAAAGCTAAACTGGAGTTCATTTCAGAATGACTGGAACTAGTAGTTTTTGGGTTTTTTCTGCAAATAATGGGAAAGCAATAAAGCTACCAGAATGTAATTTTAAAATAAGTTTTACTTTTAAAAAACATTTTAAAATTACTTTACTTGCCTGAAAATACGTCATCTCTGCTTCGCTGTCTGAAGAGCTTTGTATCTCTGTAATAACTGACAGTGATTTCAAATCACTAGACAAACACAGTCCACGACAAGACCCTGCCACCTGAAGGATTCCAGTTTACCAGTTAATAAAACATTCCATTTTCTCTAAGACATATTTACTTCTCTAACACATTGACATACAAAGATGACTGTGTTCAATGACATGTAAAAATGAAGTATAATTTTCACCTATTGCTCCAGAACAAACCCACTCTCTTTATTGCGTATTAACAGCAAACTTTGAAACAAGTTGCTAAATTTCCCAGTTAAAAGTTACAGTTATGTCTTTCCATCAATAACCAACAACCCAATCAATTAGTTTATTTAATTTCAGCAGTTTCACTTATGTGTAAGTAAGCATAGGTATATTTTTACTCAATTAAGCAGTAGTTTGTTATATTATGAAGAAAAAATATGGAAAGGAACCAAGCATACCCCATTTACTGTAGCAATCTTGAACATTCCATATGCATGTATCTCAATAAATCCTGAGCTGCCACCAAGAACAAGAGCATTAAGTCTATAAAAATAGAAGAATGTGTCAATCAGCATACTGAAATAAATTTGAATGCATACAGATACAATTCTTAATATTTAAATACCATCCCTTTAATAATGTTCCTCTAAAGAATCACTGCATAAAGGAAACACTTGCAATTCGAGAAATTTAAAAACAAATGAACAAATTAGCTCAGATTTTATTGATAAAACCTGCCTCTATCTAACATTTATATTAAGAGTATCAATTACTACACTAACTGAGAGAATAGGGAAAAAATAGTACAGTTTAGTCAGAGAGTCCTTTTTCTCTGAAGGTAATAAATCTCTAGTGACCCTCCCCTTACCAAAGCCAGCTGGGAAGCATTCTTAGAAAGCTACTTTGAATTACTCTGATTATACGCAGAGTGAGTTTGTCACACTCACTCAGTGGTACTCCTCAGCACCTCAAAGGCAATGAACATTTGAAATAGATCCAGCAGCAATAACAGCCACAGGAGTAACAACAGCATCAGAAACAGAAATCCAGTTCAAAGAATACAATCTGAGACAGACAGGTCTATGTTTTGCTCACTTATTAACACATACGTGATACAATGGCTTGGGAAAAAGCCTACAAATACCAGAAAATCAACTTCTACCTGTTACATATCTAAATAAATATACATTGAAGCAGAATGTTTCTGCTAAAGCCAACACAGGACTTAGAAAAACAGTATCTTAAAAACTTTTGGTTTGATTAACTGTGCAGATGAAGGGAACAGAGAATTCACAAAGCTCATCACCACAGGCAGCTCACTCTCTCTCAAGCAAGGATATCCTACTGTAAGAAGTGCTACCAAGTTTTAAAAAGGAGTAACTGGTGATAGAGATGCGGATTTGAATCAAGGAGGGTGGTTCTGAGTGGGGAGACTGTAAGGAACAGTGAAATAGTAAAAACAACGCAGAAACATTAAGTGCCCTCATCAAAAAAGCAAGGCACTGCACAAAGCCAGTCTCTTAAATTACACTTCCACCAGCTGCCCTTCATGTGTTTCCTAATAACAGATGCTTAGTCTAAAGTAACACTGATATGGCTAATTTCAGAGCTGCTTTTAAATTTAGATTTGTCACACTCATACAAAACCCCACAAATTCTCTGTATAGAACAAGCATTCACAAATGTCTACAAGACCAGCTTATGTAACTCATAAATCAGCCTTCAAATGCACCCCAAGAAATCTGCTAAGAAAAAGAAGATATGACACCAACAGCAGTTGCTGACAAAGTGCCTTATAATCCCTCTAAACCAAGGGGGAAAAGGTGACTGATGGAAACTTTAATATAGACTTTGAACTTTATCTCTGTACTTAAAAAAACCACATTCCATATAATTTCTCTGAGACTTTAAAAACAATTATGAATAACTTAACAGTAAACTCAATTATCCATTATTTTATACCTCTAAAAAAGCCGCCAAACAAAAAACCTCAACCAACAACCCACAACCAGAATTTACCTGACATCACCCAAAAGCTTCATAATCTCATCTGACTTTTCTTCACTGAAAATACAAAGCATGTGATTAGGGCTTATGTAGTTTGTCTCAATACCAGAAAACAAAATAAAATTTAAAAATAGAGAGCTATAACATGACAATTTCTTACCTGAAAATTTTTGCAGTGGTACTGTAACTGAAAAGAAAATAATTACTCTCAGTAACAATGATCAGATGTCTGTAGAGCATTAAAGATGAACACCCAAAATAATGACAACAAATGACAAATGGTATTTCTTCAAGCTTACTAGTGTAACACTTACTTTTTTGGTAGTGCTGGTAATTTAGGCAAAAGGAGGTTTGATTCATCTTCAGCATTGTAAAAGGAAGTGAGAACACTGAAAAAGACATAATACTGTCTTTATTGCCCAAGCTGTAAAAATGAGAAGAGACTTTCTTTTCAACTCCAGAGTTAAGAGTATAATATAATTATACAATTATGTTAATATATAATTATACTATATATATCATAATTAATATATAAGCAACTGTAAGTACATAACTCAATGCATTATGCATACTGAAATTACAAATATCAGAGGACAGTCCTTTATGGGACCTTGAATAACTTATCAAGTGATCAAATTAACAAAAGAACTGAAAATCTTATTTTTATTTCCAGTGAACAAGGTTTATATCTGCTGGCTCAGAGGCTTGTCACCACATCCTTCATTATCTGAAATGCTGTTACTGTCAGAGGCTTTCTGTTTAAACTCTCTCCAAACCTGTACTACAACCTACCCATACCTCAAAACAGCTAAAGACATATTGCAGCAAGAGGAAGATCAAAGCACAATACTTCATATCACATCTTAGATATGTCAGAAGGATGAGATTCCCCGTAAGAACTCCTACCCCTGCCAGGAGAAGAATGTTAGTGTGGTTTAAGACTGGTTTCTTGCTATTTTAAGACTGATGCTTACTGGAGGTATGGGGGGGACATCTTCAAGTCAGGAGCTTACATCATCTGCCTCCTTTAAATAAATGTTTTATTTAACTGCGTTCTCACACTGCCATGAGGTGAATATCAGATGTTTCTTTAAGACACCAGAAATAGGGACCATGATATCCTCCAGGTCACAAGTGCTGCTGAGAATTGTTCAGTCACACAGAGTTCATGGTCACTAGGGATACTCTGACTTCCTGAACAACAGAATTGCCAATGGAATTGGATGTAACAAACAGACAAAACATGAAAGACGTAAACACCAAAATAATGATCTTGAAAACACAGGAGAAATATTTAAATATAATACTTATTCTGACTAACAAAATAGATGAACGTATCATTTCTATACTTAGTTTAATAAATTGATTGATATTGAAGCAAACTGGATCATAAGACAGACTGTACATGCTAACTTAACATACAGATTAAGCAGCTCTTAAGGAGAAGCACAAGATCATGCTGAAATTTAATGTATCACCCAAAGAACCACAACACTAAGGTATTAGCACTAAAAATAAGCATATGAAAAGTGTCTATTCTAAAAAATTGAAAATTTTAGCCAAGTGATGAAAAAAACCCACAGCTGTGGACTGTATTACTTTATGAGACTGCTTGTAACATTCCAAGTATAAATTATCAGTAGGGTGGCATCACATACCCTATGATTTACTTCTTTTCAGACTCACCTGCTTTCCTCAGTTACTTCCATCCAATGCATGTATGTAATAGATAAGTCCACAGAGAAGGAGTGCAAGCTTTCAGGTTTTTCTACATCACATAGAATAATCCGCTTGGTATCAGCAAGGCCAAAAGCCAAAACTACAGAAAGACAAGTAACATGTATAAATAACCAATGTGCAAAACTCTGTATCTTACCATGACCTAGAACTCAACATGCTTCTAACACTTCTAACAATAGTTCTGATAGAGGCCTCCAATTTTACAGATTTGAGTTCAATACTATATATAACATTGTCCAGCAGAAAGGTCTGGTGGACAAAAATCACAAATTACAAGTTGCTGAGCAACTTTTGCAGCACTTTCTTCATCCATAACAGCAAATAGGCAGAGGTTTCTGTATGTACTTCCTTATAATCACAGGAAATCAGCTTAAAAAGAAGTTTCTTAAACTCTTCAGATGCCATAATAAAACAATATGGGTAGTTTTTATCCACATGTCATGGAAGAAGATTGCTCCCATTCTCCCACCTCCAATGAATAAAAAATTAACTGATTTCTGGCATAAGTTTATTGAGCTACTAATTTCAACATTATTTCTATTAATAAGGAAAAGCTTTTTTTTTTCTTCTCTGGTCTAGAATTAGAGCAATTTTAGCCTATGAAGGTTTGCCTATGCTAAGTAAGTTAAGCTCTTCAATCAATCCTGATCAGACAGCTTCCTTCTCAATAAACTTTGTAGTTCATACAAAATATCCTGTTTAGTTAGGAGGTTAAGCTTTTGCTATAGCCTTATGTTTGAGACATAAATCTGGCTTACAAATCTTTCTTGCAATTGCATTCAACAGTGTTAATCTCTCTATTACTATGAATGAACCTACATAAAATAAAGCCACCCTTTTCTTCAAACACAGTTTACTTGAAAATTTCGTTCACAGATGAGAAGTATCATCCTTCATGATTTCCCATGGGGTTTTATCGCACCATATCACCTCATATACTTGACATTACTTTTGCCATCTGGTCTCCAAGCAAGAGCAGTCACTTCTTTTCCTGTATTTTCATTTGGAGGCAAACTCCACACACGTTGAAAGTTTGCGAGTCGATGAAGTAAAACCTACAAAGTAAATGCATTAAAGACAAACTTAAACCACATTCTCCCCTTAATAAAAGTTTGTAAATCAGTTCAAGATGCACAGTTTTTTACCAGTTTTTAATTACTGTGTCTTAAATGATTCACTCCTATGTTATTCTAGAGGGCAGCACACGGTTTACAGCAGTACAGAGAAATAAGTTGAGCCTTGCATAAGAATAAAACCTCCTGATCAACAAAGGTTACCCATCACCTCTCTAGCAAACAGCCCGAAAGCACAAGTCTTGTCTTTATGCCTGATCACATATAGCAGCTCCAGGGGAAAAAGTACTCAAAAGTAGATTTAATTTAAATAGGAATGTTCACACACTTTAAAAGCTCACAAACAAGCAACGAGCACATCATATGTGAATTTGTCCGGAAATCCGAATACAAAAAAATGAAGGAGCAGTACGTATTAAGACGCTTGATTTAAAAAATTGCTATCCCTAAATACCTGGTCAGCCTTACGAGAAACATGCCCCAAGTAACAGCAAAGGCATCCGGGCCTGCAGGAAGAGGCAACACCCGTCCCTCCCGTGCTCCTTCCCCGGCACCCGCACTCACCTCCCCGGCTCGGTTAGCCAGGGCGATGAGGTCCCTTTTGGGGGACCAGGACATGAACACGACCTCCTGTGGCAGCTGCTTCTCGCCCACCTGCCTGAAGGCGGGCATGGCTGCGGAGCTCGGCCGGGACCCGCCGGGCCTCGGCTCCCGCTTCCGGGGGCGGCACTTCCCGCCGCGGCGAGGGCGGCGAGGAGCGGGCCGGGCCTGGCTGCGGGGCGGAGCCGTGAGGGTGATCCCGGCAGCGGGGCGGGCCCCGGCAGCCGTGAGGGTAATCCCTGGAGCGGGGCGGGCTCCGGCAGCGGGGCGGGCCTCAGGAGCCGTGAGGGTAATCCCTGGAGTGGTACGGGACCACCGCAGCACCGAGGCTGGGCAGGCGCAGGGAGGCAGGTCAGGCTCTTCCCCCCTCCGCTCACTTACTATTTCCTACTAAATACATCACTCTTTTCTTTCTGATGCCCGTTTTCCATTTGGAGAGAAATCTTTAAAAAGTCACAAGCCATCCTGTGAGGCGAGTGCAACTAACAGACTGAATTCCTAGAACTCGTGCTTTTCCATCACCTACCCTCACTTCCTCCCTTACCCCACATCCTTCGATACGAACATAATATCAGAGCCTCACCTCTCAGCAGTAAGCCCCTTAACGTCCAACACCCACCAAATTAGACAAATAGCTAATCCTAAATACAAAATTTATCACATTATGCAAATACATGGTAAGGTCTAAATAGTAGTTCACTTAGTTGTTTTGGGGTTGTTTTTTTTTTTTATACCAGTAATGATGTATAATAAAGGAACTGCCACTTAATTCAATTAGGTTTTATTCTGGATGTCAGCACTTACATTTTTAGAAAATAGAACAAAAGGGTGACAATAAAAAATAAATAAGCAACTATGTAGCAGTAAGACAAGTCATGACTTTTTTTTCTTATTCTTTACTTTCCTCTTGGAGAATATGGCATGTTTCATAGCTAATCTTTTACAGATCCCCGTTTTTACTCTCTTTTGAGTTTTCAGCCTTTTCTTTTTGTCAGGTCTGTAAAGCAAAAAAAAAGGAACACAGAGATTAGAATAAAATGAAGAACACACTTCTCTGTACAAATAAGTTTGCTGCTATTTTAAATAAGTATATGAATTTGTGACAGTATGTGAAGTACTGTCACAAAAAGTACAAGGAACATTCCGTCTCAAAATGTTATGATCTTTCAACTTCACAAACCTGTCCACTTTATTGCCATTATACATTCATTTTATATATTTATTCAGCATTTAAATTTACACAGATATTGAAAACAAGAAACTCACCACCAAGCACAAAAAAGCACACACAGAGTTTCATGCTGAATATATAATGCATGAATATGTAATAGAAAGACTTAGAAGAAAGTACATGAACACCATTAGGAAGCATCCTGCAATTAGTACAGGACCTAAATACAACTAGCAAGTGGATTGTTTTCCATTTCTTACAAAAGATGTCATAATGCAAAACGCTGAATTATAACAAAACACACAAAAATTTTATTAGAAAAAGAAATCTAAGTTATCTTCTGCAATGAATCAGCAAAACAACTAACTGATGGCCTGAAAGTACTAAAACCATTCTGGTACAACTGACAAAACAGCATCTTCCTTGACAGAAAAAACAGATGGGATTTCATGAAATTCTTTTACCATCCTTCTTAATTTTTTTTAGCAAAGGAAAAATAAACATTAAGAGATGGAATCTTTATGAGAGAGATATAAAATGAAACATTGCTACCTTTTGTGTCTAATACTCCCTAAGCAAAACCTGGTTTAATATCAGTAGGACATGAAGCAATACACCTCTACCCATCTGCCATCCAGCAGGCACCTGGTGAGCCTCTGGATATTGATCCAAGAGGGTAATTGTCTGAGTCTCACTTTGTAACATAAGTATAGCTTTTGGAAGGGAAAATTTGCCTTCCACTGCAACAGCCATTCCAGTGCAGAATCACAGATATTGATCACTCCCATTACTCTGGAGAGGAATTTATAAAAATGCAATCACTTATCCCAAACTGGAAAGACTGAGCCATCTGCTGGATCATCTCTTATCAAATCCCTTTTCCTCTTTTCAGTTAGTTCCACCTGAAGACAACCACACACCATTTACTTGACTCTCTGATACATACAGTTATGTGTACAGTGTTGGTATGTAACAAAAGGACAATCATGGAAGAATAAGAGTACTCAATGTGATACTCATTAATGATGGAGATTTAGATCATACTACAAAAAGTACCCAAAATACCACAAGGAAAAAAGCAAAAGATGCTACAACAAAGCAAAAGAGACAGAAGCAATAAAACCATTATAGTGACTCTTTTCTCTGCCCATTCATGAGGAATTCAAAGGGGATAAAAGTGTTCCATTTCTTCAATTTTCAGTCATCTTGACAGAGCTCTACGCACCAGTCACCAAGCTTGTGATCCATATAAATCAGTTTTGAAAGAAAACCCACAGATAGGGAATTGGGATCCCCAGTAAATGGCCTGCCTCTTATCATACCCACCCTTCAGTATATACTCCCCAGCAATGCAGCAAGTGGGCAATAGTGAAAGCTGATATCAGCACCTAAAGCCAAAAATCATCTTCTGAACTGATTCCATGACATAAGATCTCATCTCATCTGAATGCTGTATTTTACTGTGTTAACACAATATCACACTTACTGACAAGCTGCTCTGGAGCGGGAGAGACTAGGACAGGCACTGCGCTTGTGACCTGTCTTGCCACAAACAAAACAGCCAACATCAGTCTTCTCACAGCTGTGCTTTTGAAGAGTGCAGCAGTTGCAATTGTTACAGTGAAACCAAGCTGCAAAATATATAATGTGATTTATCACCTTGGAAAAGTTTAAAACAAACATTCTGAAGCTAAGCTTTAGTACAGGCCATATTACCAGATTTTTAATTCTGGATTAGCTTTATAGAGATGGATGTATGCACTTTCTGGTCCCTTATCACATTACTAGACATACCGTGCAATTAATTATGTGTTAATTATTTTGCCATTAGAACTTTTATCCTGTGTGTCATCTTCAAAAGGAAATAGTGCAGATGTTACAATGTACTTAAAGATTTTTATTTTTGTAACAGTAACAAAAATAACTGCTTCAGCTATTTATACAGAGGTATAAACACAATTAAATTTGTGCATGAAACAATTTTATTATGATCTCTCAAAAATTTTAGTAATTGCCAATTTGTTTGTGAAAGTCAAAGTTTACAAAATTAGAAAACACATGACAAATGGAAATATTTCTGTTTTGCCATGATAAATATAAATGGGATATATATGGTGTGCCTTGACAACAATTTGTTACCTTTCCACACAGCGCAAGTACACCTAAATTAACAAATAGCAACTTATGTGAAATTGAAACTTTTCATTTATTCTATATCTTCTGAATTACCACATTTTACTTATTTAATAGAATATTTTATCTTCTGGTTTGGAATCTGTTTCTTTGGACTAAGTACACTTCTATTTAGAAAATATTTTTCTGTACTTACAGGGTTTTACACATTTTTTGCAAAGAACACAATGTTTCCATCGTCTGCCATCCTACAAAAGGTAAACAAACAGTTTACTGAACCGCCCCAAACTGATTCTATTTTAAAACAGAACTACTTGTGTATGGTCCCCACTGCTTACAGGAACAACTCATCTGTAGGAAGGACTGTAACTCAGAAACAACAGCCTTGAGAATCTGTGAAAACCACAGCTGAAATTTTGAAATTTGCAAGTTCTACAACTTCAGAGCATAAGAAAAAATACATGTGTTAACAGATCACAGCTGGCTAAGTTCTGGTCTAAGTGGCAAGCAGCAAACTTGTACTGTCCTCTTTCCAACACAAAGGAATTAGGGAGAGAGAAATTAATTCCCAGTGGGTTATGGAAGATGTATTGTGAAGGTAATAAAAGTCTGTGAAAGTGAACTGTAATCGGTTTCCCATGGAACTCTGTATCAGAACAGGTTTTTACCAAGCAAGTATTCCAGAGGTTGTTATCTGGCTATGGCTAAAACTTCCATTCAGAAAGGAGTGAAAATACTTACTTTTGATGTACATGAATTGCATATCTCACAGTGCTGGTTACCAGAACTAACGTATCGCTGACATACAGTGCAAAATCTGGGAAAAAAAGATGTACTGGTCCACTGTTTGCTCACAAAACAATTAATTTTATACAACCTTAACAACCAATATAAGGACTGCAAAATCACTGTGTTGAATTAAGAATTATATCTTTGCTGCATAAATGACAATCACTTAGGCCATTTACACTCAGTACATCCACATAGTAAAATTCAGGTCAAATTATCAACAGTATCAGTAATAAATGAAACTAAATTCCTCTGTCCTTGATGCTTCTCTTACAAGTTCATTTTTTTACTATTTTATTAATAGCTGATTATCAGACATGGCTGTAAATCTCTTTTGTAGATGTAGACAATACTTCCTACAGACAAAATAAGGAATCTCATCATTCCACACTGGAAAACTTAAATGTCTTTTTAGACATTTCAGTTCTCCTACACATTGTTTATATAAAATGCAACTTTAGAATGAGACGGAAAAATGTGGTCTTAAGCCTGGCATCCAAGTTAGGCAAGACACTATTGAACAGCACCATCCCAAATTCTCTTTTGTCTCCTTGGGAGACTTTATGTCGTAATTAAAAACAAAGACACTATTTTAAGTCACCTGATAATTAATACATCTTACCTATATCCCTCTTCTTCAGGAAGCACAATCATACTTGGGGTAAGGTTTGTGAAAATACGGACAGGAGACTGTCTACGACCTGTCTTGCCATGTTTATACAGTGCATGATTATCATAGTCTACCTAGAAAAATAAAACCATAAAAAAGAGTCTTAAACTGAATGCTAAGCACAGGCAAAGCTATGTACGTATTTATTATCTTTATAAGTGCCTTATGAAATGTTCATGTTCATATAAAAGACTCTAACCCCGAATCAGATCACAAATTCTACACCAAGTTTTTTGTCTCATTTACTTGTAAATTTGTGCAAACATAGTATTAGGCTAGACTGACAATACTTCAATAGTCATATTGTATTTATTCATTTTTGCTCATTTGCATGGGATAACATTGCCGCTG